GTTAGTATCATGGTTGCTAGGCAACCTGGGCACCGCAACGGAGGCTTTTTTTTTTTTAAACTTTATTGACAAACAACAGTATCAGCGCAACGGAGGCTAGACCGCCCATTACGCAAGCCTCGCACTTCCGGCCTTAGCGGTCTTTGAATACGCGGCCCTTGAGGATCGTTGAGGCTGCGTACTTTAAGGCTGCAGACCCTGAATTGGGAGACAGCCAGCGACTGAGCGAGGGGGCGGGGCAGCTGCTGCCTGTGAGTGCGCTGTTGGAGAAACGGAGCCAGCCATACTAAGGAGAGCTTAAGTTTGACCAGGTACCAAAGCAAATCATTCGTACCGTACAAATAATGTAAATATGACGGTGCATCACGAAAGATTGATATCAAACTGATCACTTGACCAATATTACGTTACTCGCTCTTCAAGTGAATCAACAAATGGCGAAATGAAAAGCCGAACAAATGCTATTTTTTTTAGAGAGTCTTAGCTTACGTGTGTTTATTTCATATTTTCAGTTCTTACCCTCCCCGACTAAATCGGTTTCAGTTATGTACTGAAATATAAGAATGGACATTAGAGGCTTCTTTCAAAGAAAAAACTCAGGTAAATGTTATTTTATATATTATGCTTTGTATGTTGTTCAGTATATTTCTATGCAAAACAAGAGGGATTTCAGTACACAGCAGGATATTCACATTTGTAACCAGATATTTACACTTTAGGGAGAAAACATAAAACATTTTTACTGTACAACATCAATTTAGAGTAAACTTTTGTTTTAGATAAATATTGAAATATCTTTTGAATTAGTTAAATGTCAGAATAAAGAGAGACAGAGCTTTTTTTTATCACTTTCATCAAATTTAGGAGTACATGTACACTAAGTTTATTGTTAATTAATAAGAAACTCCAGACGATTCCATTCTGAGCTGAAGAAGCTTCTGATTGGTTTATAGTAAGTAAAGTAAAGTAAGTAAAATTTTATTTATATAGCACATTTCTAGATAAGAGATCACAAAGTGCTTTACAAGGTATAGACACAGATTAAAAAGACGAAGTACAGTCAAAAATTAACAAAATGCAATTTTAAAAAGATGTGTTTTTAGCTGTTTTTTAAAAGTAATCAGTGAATCAGCAGATCTTAAGTTCTGAGGAAGAGAATTCCACAGTCTGGCGGCCACAGTAGCAAAAGCTCGATCACCCCTAGTTTTCAGTCTCGTATACTTAATAACAAGTAGGCCCTGACCACAAGACCTCAGAGACCTACTAGGGGCATAGGGCTGTAAGAGTTCAATGATGTATGATGGTGCTTGTTCTTGAAGAGCCTTAAATGTGAGAACCAGAATCTTAAAGTGGACTCTGAATTCGACAGGGAGCCAGTGTAACTGTATAAGCAGCGGTGTTATATGTGAGTATTTCGATGTTTTCGTCAGAAGCCTTGCTGCAGCATTTTGGACAGTCTGCAGACGCTCCAGGGAACTCTTGTTTAGACATGTAAACAGTGAATTGCAATAGTCCAGTCGTGATGAAATAAAAGCATGAATAACAATCTCCAGTTCAGTATGAGCTATTATGGGGCTCAATTTAGAAATATTTCTTAAATGATAAAAGCAAGACCGAACCAGAGATTTGACGTGAGTATCCAATGTAAGAGCAGGATCGAAGGTTATCCCTAGGTTCCTGATAGATGGTTTCACAAACGTTGAAAGGGGACCAAGAGCATTCATTATGCTGGGTACATGTCTGTCTGGAGCACATAACAGGACTTCAGTTTTATTTTCATTTAGTTGGAGGAAATTGTCGGCCATCCAACCTTTGATGGTTTCCAAACACACATTTAAAATCCGCAGTTTAGAAGCATCTTCAGGTTTAAAAGATATATATAGTTGGATGTCGTCTGCGTAGCAGTGGTAACAAATATCCTCAAAAGGGCTCAAAATATGCTGGAGAGGAAGTAAATAAATTAAAAACAATAATGGCCCCAGCACAGAGCCTTGTGGCACACCAAAGGACAGGGACGTAGAAGATGACCTGTACTTAGAAACTGCCACAGAAGAGTATCGTTCACAGAGATACGAGGAGAACCACTCTAAGGCAGACCCAGATACACCGACCCAGTATTTCAGCCTATCAAGCAAAATATAATGGTCAACGGTGTCAAAGGCCGACGTGAGATCCAACATTAAAAGAACAGAACACTTACCCGCATCGTTTTGCATCAGAATGTCATTAGAAACTCTAAGAAGGGCTGTTTCAGTAGAATGAGCTTTACGAAAGCCAGACTGAAATTTATCAAAGATGTTATATTTGTCTAAAACTGCTGTAAGCTGCTTAGCCACAATCTTCTCTAAAATCTTAGCAATTAACGGTATTTTTGAGATCGGTCTGTAGTTGCTAGTGAGAGATGGGTCCAGCATAGGCTTTTTTTAACAGAGTAGAGTCCATGTGAGTAAACTGGTGGCACAGCTGTGGATGCATATAAGGCAAAACACAGAGCCTGTTTCTGTGACATGGGAACATCAAGAGATGTCAACCAAAACACCAGGAACAGAACTGTGGAGCTCCATAAGTGTGGCTCAGTTTGAATACAATTTGGTGCCATTTACAATTAAGAAATACAGACAGTTTCTCTCTTTACTCTTAAAGTTAACAAATATGTTTTTATATTTATCTAAAAAAATAAACATTTAGTCTGATTTGATGTTACAATTAAAAAAGTGTTTTGATCTGAAGAGTAAATATCTGGTTTCAACTGTATATTTGATGATTGTCAGCACAAAGAGAGAGAGGAACAGAGAGAGAGAGAGAGACTGAGAGAGAGAGAGGAACAGAGAGAGAGAGAGGACAGAGAGAGAGAGAGAGGAGAGAGAGAGAGAGGACGAGAGAGAGGACAGAGAGAGAGAGGAACAGAGAGAGAGAGAGAACAGAGAGAGAGGAGAGGGGAGGACTGAGAGAGAGAGAGAGAGAAGAGAGAACGAGAGAGAGAGAGACAGGAAGAGACAGAGAGGAGAGAGAGAGAGAGAGAAGAAGAGAGAGAGGAAGAGAACAGAGAGAGAGGAACAGAGAGAGAGAGAGAGAGGAAGAGGAGGGAAGAGAAGAGAGGGGAGAAGTAGAGAGAGAGAGAGAGAGGAGACAGAGAGAGAGAGAGAGAGGAAAGAGAGAGAGAGAGAAGAGAGAGAAGGACAGAGAGAGAGAGAGGAACAGAGAGAGAGAGAGAGAGAGGAGAAGGCAGAGAGAGAGAGACAGAGAGAGAGAGGACAGAGAGAGAGAGAGGAACAGAGAGAGAGAGGAGACAGAGAGAGAGAGAGACGGAAGAGAGAGAGAGAGAGAGAGGGACAGAGAGGAGAGAGAGAACAGAGAGAGAGGAGAGGGAACAGAGAGAGAGAGAGAGGGAACAGAGAGAGAGAGAGAGGAGAGAGAGAGAGGGGAACAGAGAGAGAGAGAGAGGAACAGAGAGAGAGAGAGAGACAGAGAGAGAGAGAGGAACAGAGAGAGAGAGGAACAGAGGAAAGAGAGAGAGAGAGAGAGGAACAGAGAGAGAGAGAGAAGACAGAGAGAGAGAGAGAGAGACGAGAGAGAGAGAGGAAGAGAGAAGAGGACAGAGAGAGGAGAGGACAGAGAGAGAGAGGAGGAACAGAGAGAGAGAGGAACAGAGAGAGAGAGAGAGGAACAGAGAGAGAGAGAGAGAACAGAGAGAGAAGGAGAGAGAGAGGAACAGAGAGAGAGAGAGGAACAGAGAGAGAGAGAGGAACAGAGAGAGAGAGGAGAGAGGAAAACAGAGAGAGAGAGAGGGAACAGAGAGAGAGAGAGAGAACAGAGAGAGAGAGAGGAAAGAGAGAGAGACGAGAGAGAGAAAGACAGAGAGAGAGAGAGGGGAACAGAGAGAGAGAGAGAGACGAGAGAAAGGGACAGAGAGAGAGAGGAGCAGAGAGAGAGAGGGAACAGAGAGAGAGAGAGGAACAGAGAGAGAGAGAAGGAGAGAGAGAGAGAGAGAGAAGGACAGAGAGAGGAGAGAGAGCAGAGAGAGAGAGAGCAGGAGAGAGACAGAGAGAGAGAGAGAAGAGAGAGAGAGAGGACGAGAGAGAGAGAGAAGACAGAGAGAGAGAGAGGAAGAGAGAGAGAGGAAGAGAGAGAGAGAGGAACAGAGAGAGAGAGAGAAGAGAGAGGAGAGACAGAGAGAGAGAGAGAGAGAGAACGAGAGAGAGAGACAGAGAGAGAGAGAGGAAGAGAGAGAGAGAGAGAGAGAGAGAGAGAGAGGAAAGAGAGAGAGGAAGGGAGAGACAGAGAGAGAGAGAGAGACGAGAGGGAACAGAGAGTGGAGAGAGAGGAACAGAGAGAGAGAGAGAGGAACAGAGAGAGAGAGAAGAGAGAAGAGAGAGAGGAAGCAGAGGAGAGAGAGAGGAACAGAGAGAGGAAGAGAGGAGGAGAGACAGAGAGAGAGAGAGAGGAACAGAGAGAGAGAGAGAGAGACGAGGAAGAGAGAGAGAGGAAAGAAAGAGAGAGAGGAACAGAGAGGGAGAGAGGGAACAGAGAGAGGACGAGAGAGAGGAGAGGACAGAGAGAGAGAGAGGAACAGAGAGAGAGGAGAGAGACCCCTCAAAGCGCTTTACAATGCCACTATTCATTCACTCTCACATTCACACTGGTGGAGGCAAACCACAGGTGTTGCCACAGCTGCCCTGGGGCAGACTGACAGAGGCGAGGCTGCCATATCGCGCCATCGGCCCCTCTGGCGGTTAGAGTGATGCAACCTGCAGCTTCAGGATCTGTGAGCTTTTGGCCTTCAGCCCGACGGCGTGTCTGTGGACGTGCCGTCAGGTGAAAGATCCACGCTCTGTGTTTACATCCTCGTAGCTGCTCTCACTTACTGCTTTAGCTGTTTGTTGAAATATTTCCTGAGCTTTAACCGGAGATACATTTAAATGCAAAAATCGATTCAGGATTTAATGAATTGATATCACGTTATTCAAATAGTTTGTTTTGTTGTTTTACACCCCGCTCACCATCTGCAGCCGTCGTCGTTGCACGTTCCCGTGAGGTCGAAGCGGCAGAAGCACTTCTTTGCTTCGATGGCGTTGCTGTACGTCACCGAGCTCAGAGACAGCTTCTCCTTGGTCCTGTAGTACGGGCTGAACCTGAGTGGGAGGACACAGCTGTGAGCCGACCGCACAGACCACATACGAGCTCTGTTGCTGTCGGTACGACGGAGCTACCTGTAGGACCTGAAGGCCAGCAGAGGGCTGTGGTACGGTCCGAAGGGAAGCGGCCTCAGCTCCAAGCTGCCCGACGAACTCACCGCTGTCTCCACCTCAGCCGGAAACACCTGGATGACCGGACACACAGAGCGTTAGCGTGAAATTCCCCCGAGACCTTCAGCTGCCCCTCTGACAGACTCCGCTCACCTGTGCGGCGAGGGCGGGGTCCACGTCCTCCCCCAGCACCTGCAGCTCCATCAGCAGCAGATCTCCCAGAGGTGTCTTCTGTTTGTACAGCCGCTGCAGGGCGTCCACGTCCAGCCCCGCGAACATCTCGGCAGGAAGCTCCACGCCTGCCGAGCCACTGGGCAGCGCCTTCACGGGCTTGGCGGCAGTGCCGACGTCTTTGGGCGGAGCCGAGCTCGTGGCGTCCAGGTGGGGTTTGGTGAAGGAGCAGCTGGACTGACGGAAGGAGGAGCGACGGCCACCTCTGGCCGCAGCAGCGGGCGCAGGTTCTGGTTCGTGATCCTCGGCCTCCGCGGGGTCCTCGCTGTCCAGCGTCAGCTTGTCCTGGGAGAGGTCGTGCAGCGAGGGCTGCGGCGGCGTCTGGACCTGAGGGTCCGGGGGCGTGGCGGATCGCAACGGCGGCTCTACGGGGAGCTCTGGCAGGACGCCTTTGTTTCGCAGCACCTGCGCCTCCTTCAGCTTCTGGATCTTCAGCGCGTACTCGGACTCGAGCTGCTGCAGTCGTTGCTTCTGAGCGATGAGCTCGGCAAAGTGGCGCTCAGAACCGCGGGGCGCTGCGTCACGCCGCGGCAACTTGCTGAGCTGGAAAGGATAACGTTACGCAGGGTAAACACACCTGCACACAGCGGCGCTCCATCAGAGCTTTCTTATAGTTTTATCGGCGGGTGCATGTAACCACCAACGCCTCTGAATCCATGGTTACCGGCGCCGTGAGGAGCTGCGTGAGCGCAAGCGTCCTCTGTAACAGCCCGAGTTCGTTTAGCCAGCGCCTCCCCACTGTGGGTCCCACCCTGATCCTTGCCTCAGCTGTTCATTAGCTGACTGGATGGGTAATTAGCTTTATTAGCTAACCAGCCAGCTAACTGCCTCACCTGTAAGTTTCAACAGCAATTCTTCATGCAACTGTTTTTTCAGAATAAAAGCCTCTCTGGCTGAGTGTTTCTCTGCTGAGGAGACAAACACACAACCTGCAGGTTCCACAGAGAAACAGGAAGACTCACCGCGGGCCGGCTGGAGTCCGCTTGCCGTTTGGGCGCCCTGCCGGCGGCCAGGTGAGCCTGCACCAGCTCCTGCTCCAACCGCACCGCCACAGTCTTCTTCACGGAGACCCGCTGCTCCACCCGGTGGACCTGCAAAGGACGTGGAGGCGGTCAAACGACACCAAACAAAGAGACTTCACAGCAGCCAGGAGGAGTCTGAGCTTCATGTCCTGCATCTGACTGCCGGCGTGCTGACGCCACACTGGGGTCGTGTAGATTTAAGAGAAACACCCAACAGCGAGTTGGGGCGGTAAAGTTGGCGTACCTGCTCGCGCAGCTTCCTGAGGAGCGTCTTGTTGGCGCCGACGATCCTTTCCGACGCCTGCAGCTGCTCTCTCAGTTTGGCCACTTTGGCCTCGGCGGCCTTCAGCGACTCGTTCTTCTTCAGCTCCTGCTGCAGCAGGTGTCGCAGCACGGCCTCGTCTCTCTGCAGCAGCTCCCTGAGGGCAGCAGACTCCCACAGTCAAAGCGGCGCCACCGAAAACCTCACACCAGCTCCAGGTGTGTTTTAAGATCTCACCTGTGTTTGCTGAGCTTCAGCTCGGCCTCGCTCAGCTTCAGGGAGGAGTCGATGGAGTCTGCAGTGGCGGGCGAGGCGGAGCCACGAGGGCTCTGTTCCTTCATCATCCTCTGCCTCTCCCTGCTGTGAGCGTGCACACCCACAGAGTTAGTAAAAGTCTTTGTGTGTGTGTGTGTTTGAGAGAGGTCACGTGGGTACCTGGCGATCTCCTCTTTGAGTAGGCGGTACTCGGCCTTCTTGGCGTCAGGCAGAGCCTCTGGCGTTCGGACTGGGTTGTTCTCCTTCTCAGAGGCCGACGCTCCTTTTGGCTTCGCCGCCTGAGAAATAAGAAGTTCAGAGTCGTGACATCATCACGCAACGCCGCAGACACATTCCGGCTGCACAACGTCGTGCCCGGACGGTTCAGGTGAACGTGCTCACCTCCACCGTCCTTCGGGCCTCTTTGATCATGAACTCCAGGCCGCCAAACACCGCCTGCGATGAGCTGCAGGCGTCCATGTCCGAGTCGCTGTCGTCAGAGTCGTTGAGAGAAACCACCACCGTCTTATGTCTGGGCAGCTGGACAGACAGGTGAGGGGCAGACAGGTGAGGGGCAGTTTCAGGCTCCATGTTTGTTTCTAAATAAGGAGCGGTGTGCAGCGAGCCTCTTACCACAAGCGGTGCTCTGGCGGCGAGGTGCGCTCTGGCGGCCTTGTTTGGGCGGGGCTGAGGCACTGTGTTCAGACTGACCGTGCTCAGGTTTCCTCTGGGTGGAGGCTGAAGGTCTGCGGGGGGAGGCCCACCTGGAGAAGGAGGAGCGCTGGAGCTCTTCTGCAGAGAGAAAATCATCATCATCATCATCATCATCATCATCACCATCGTCAGGAGCACAATCTAAACATGACATCATCACGTGACGCCGCGGACCTCCGAGACCACCACCCTCTTGTTGGCCATAGACATCAGGCAGGTCTCCCTGAGGAGCATCTCCTCCTCCTCCTCTTCATCAGCAAATGGAGGTTTTGGGGGGGGCTCCAGCTCATCTGGGGGAGGGGGGAGGGGAGGAGGTGGGGGAGGAATGGCGGAGAGCAGTGGGGGGAGGAAGGGCTGCGAGAATTCCTGAGGGGTGGAAAGAAAAAAACCCAGACATCAGCGAGCTCCTCGGAAGGTAACCGTGGTGATGAGGAGGAGGGGGCGTACCATTCCGAAAGGAACGGGGTCGGCGCCGTACAGGTGAGGGATGCACGCCGCCTCCTCCACAGACAGCAGGTTGCTGTGCGTTGGCGACGGGGCTGAAACGCAGACAAACCAGTTTAAACGGGAAACAGGAAGCGAAAGGTGGGTCAGGTGCACCTCCTGCCCCCTTACCTGGCGAGCCCGTCTCACTGTCCGTGTCCATTGCCACCTCGTCGTAGTTGTCGTACTGGTAGAGGTTCCCAGAGGTGTCCAGGCCCGGCTTGCCTGCAGACTTGCGGTGGTCCCGGTCCCTGGACTGAGCAGACACAGGTGAGTCAGCACAGGTGAGAGTCAGGTGACCACACTGGGCGTGCGCACACGGCACCTTACCTTGCTGCGTGTCCTCTTCCTCCCACCCACCAGTTTCATGAAGCGGTTATATTGTTCGTCCTGGTTGGACAGGTCGCGGATTCGCCGGATCTCGTCCTCCCGCTTGCGGCGCTCCTCCTCCTCCTGCCGTCGCTTCTCCTCCTGCTCCCTCTGCTGCTGCAGCTTCCACGTCCTCACCTGCTGCTTCCTGAACGCCTGCTTTGCCACCGAAACTGTGAGACACGTCACACAGGAACACTCAGAGCTGGCCGCTGTTTTCTGCTTCACTTCTAAGCGTGCTCACATTTAAGGCGGCACAGCCCGCACACAATACCTGGGCTGATCTTCTTGGTGATGTGAGCCTTCCCCGGGGGGCGGGCCCTCTCCAGCGGGCCTTTAGGTCCGGCTTTAGGACACGGCTTGAGTCTGTCCCTGTCCTGAGGTCTGGGCCCGGTCTTGTTTCGCTCGCGGTCCCTGTCCTGAGGTTTGGACCTGGTCCTGCTCCTCTCTGTGGCGGCTGCGGCAGTGGAAGCAGACCTGGTGGTGACCCTCTGCCTGGCGGGTGGGGCGGCCCCGGGGCCCGAGCTCTTCTCCTGGGTGGCTTTAGTGATGCGTTCTTTGCTCCGCCTCATCACCTGCTGCTCCTTCTGCTGCCACTTCTTACTGGCCGACTGCAGAGCGAGGAGACGCAGCTGCAGCTCTGACAGCTCCTCCTCCTCCACCACCATCACCACCTTCTCCGTGGCCTGACCACACACAGAGGAGACGTAACGTGACACAAACCAAACGCCATCGAAGCGAACGGCTGAATCTTTTCCCTGCGGGTAGCAGCTGCACGGCCTCACCTTGTCTGGAGAGTCCTCGCTGGACGCCGACGACTCGCTGGGACACAGCGGCGGCGGTTTCTCCTGCTCCTCCATGATGCACGGGTCACACGGCCTCTCGTCTGCGGGCTCTCCTCCTTCTGCTCGCTGTTCTCCCTCACCTGGACACACATTGCACAGGAAGTGAAAACACAGCGTCTTCATCAAAGGTCGCCTGCTCCTCACTGCACGGTGTTAATCAAACTCTGGTTTGGGGGCCGTGAGGGGACTCTACAGGGTGGACCGGCGTGCGTTGTCACAGTTTTCACTGCTGCATGAACTGAAGATCCCGGCAACATGACGACCTTCAGTTCCATCGTTAAATGGCTCATTTTTTAGATTCGTTCTGGCAGAAAGAGGCGAATACCCTGTCATCCTGTTACAGCTGCGGGGAAGAAGGTGGAACTTCCTGTTTAGTGACCCTTTAAAGGACAAACAGCTGAGCTGAGCCTTGCACTGGGCCTCTCACGGTCCTGACACACACCTGGACCGTCAGGGTTCAGACACTGAGGCCGTACCCAGACTGCAGAAGCGTTTGTCACACTCGGGCCGAGACATCCCCAGCTGACCTCCGGAGCCCCATCTGGACCCAGCCAGCAAAGGTGTTAGCTAGCTCGTGAGAACTTGAGCTTTTTCTAAGAGCTCGCGCCGTGTGAGCTTGTAATACCTGAAAAATCTCTCTGCCCCATTAAAGTGACAGAACAGCGAAGTGGACAGATCAGCAGGTCACATGTGCGACATCAGCAGAATCCCACAGCGCCCCCTACTGTTGCAGTAATAAGCAATGTGGCAACCAACCCCGGTCCACCCTACAGTGAAACGTCCTTTCAGAGGATCAATCGGAGAGTCTGCTGCATCGGTACGGTGTACACTCGTGCCGGCGGCCTCGGTCTGCTCACCGCCGCTCTCGCGCGTCCCCTCTTCTGCTTCTTTGGCACCTTTTCCTTCCAATTCTGCTCCGTTATCTGTGATTGGCTGATCCCCTTCACCTGTTGACACACAGAACAGGAAGCTGTAGAAACACACCGAGCTTTACACAGCAAACAGGAAGTGATTGGTCCTCAACATGGTTTAAGTCGCCAAACAGGTAAAAAGGGGCGTGTCTACAGCTGCGATGTGAAAGCAAACATTCGGATAACGAACTCACCATCAGGCTTCGCCCACTTCTTCTGCAGCTCGTCCAGGTCGGCCGGCGTGGGGAGTTTCTGACGAAGCGGTTTGATGTTGAAGGCCTGGAACACTTTCTTCCTCTCCAGCTCCGACACCTCGTCCGCGGCTGCTGCCGGACTCAGAGCCAGGCCCGGTTCAGCTTTGGTGTCCGTTAGAGCGGCGGCTACGCACTCCACCACGTCGTCCCTGACTGGTGACGTCCGTGGCTCCAGGGCCATCGTCTCCTCTTTGCGGATGCACTCGAGTTCGATCTGGATCTGTTTGTATTTGGACAGCAGATCCTCGAAGGACTCGTCACCACTGCTCTCCGGCCTGGGAGCGCCGTGAGCCACCTTCCTGAGCCGGTTCCTCCCGAGAGGTTTCTCTGAGGTCTGCGTTAAAGAACGCTGATCAAGAATTACTGACCAACAGGGATCAATACTCATTTCATTTTTAAAGTCATGATTTAAAAGAAAAAATATTAAAAAATAAAATTTTCAAAAAGACTTAAATCTTTGGTACCAACGAAAAGCTTCATTTTTAAGAATGTGTAAAATTAAAAAAACGAACAAATTAAGAAATCCTCACAAAAAAATGTCCATGTAAAAGAAGCAAATTTCTCCTATCATCGGATTATTGATCGCAGATCAAATGGCAGAAAACTCGCAGCCCTCTGAAAACTAATCAAAGCTTTCTCAATTATGGAACTCATGATGTCAGTTCGTCAGCTGAACGTTTGATTATTGGCTTCACATCCAAACATTATTTATTAACGCACTGTGTGTGTGTATTTGTAGTTCCTGCGCTCTGTCCCGGTGGAAGGCTGACCTCTAAGCTGTTTGTTATACACTGCACCATCTTTCATCTGTAACACTAAAACTCCGCTTGTGGGATCAATAAAGTATTGATCTATTGATTTGGGCTTTTCACAGCTGTCTTCAAGATCTTTTCAATATGATCGATCAATCAATACATGAACGAGGAAATAATCGATCACTGATGTAACCGTGTAGCGGATGAATGAGGACAGCTGATGGGGGAGTCGCAACCACACATACGTCATCACAGCGCCGGTTTCGTTTCCTGCTGTCACGCACGCACGCGCGCACCTGGTGGAGTGTGAAACGTGAACCAGTCGAAGCCCAGAACACTCACAGATCAATGGGCTGTTCATTAAACCAATATGTAATCAATGAAACCCTGACCGGCTCCTCGCGGGCTGCCTAATTCAATCACCGTCCCGGGGGAGAGGGCACGTGACACAGCAAAAAGGATACGCTTCCTCGCGGGGGAGCTGTGGCTCTCTCCGGGCAGGTACCGTCCGGGAGGCGGCCTGCTGTTGCCTCCCCGGCCGCCCCGGCTCCAGCCCCCGGGGCCTCCGTTCGGCATGCCGCGGTGCCGGAAGCGTCCCAGTGCGCCGTGGCTCCGCTCCCAGAAGCTGGACCGCGGCCCGGGCTCCCCGTGAGAGCCGAGCCCGGGAGGCTGCTGCTGCGGTGGCGGAGAGGGAGGCCGGTCGGGCCCGCTCGGCCCGCACTGCTGCCGGTGGCCGGGCGGGAATGGGCCGTGAGGGCCGAGGCTGTAGGGCATGAGGTGGCGGAAGTCCGGCGGCGGGTGGCCCAAGTGCGGCGGCGCGCCGTGCGGGTGCTTGTGCGGCTTTCGCGGCCGAGGAGGAGCACCGCCACGGGGCCTGCTCCCATCCCCCCGCCGTGGAGGCGCTCTCTCCTCGGTGTCATCATCGCAGATCTCTCCGTCTTCTAGCTCCCCGTCCTCCGCGGGGGATCGGTTCGGAACGTCTACGTCCATGTTGGGGTGACCGTCTGCAGCTCCCTGCTGGGGCCGAACTCAGCGGCGGGACCAGGAGCTCATTCCGCGGCTCTGAAGCAGCTTCGCGGAGGTTCTCTCCGCTCTGACCGTTAGCTCTCTGTTAGCGCTCTGCTAGCTCCGCTGCTACCAACAATCACCGCGATAAAACCCGAGACTTCGCGAGACCGGAAAAAGCACGTAAAAGCAGAGCTGTGGGTTTTTCTCTTCCTCCCGGGAGGCGGGGACTCCGCATGTTGTTCTTACATTATTTATTGTTTTTATTTTGTTGACAGTTTTTGTTTGAGTATGTTTTGTTTTAATTTAATTTTAATTTATTTTGTTTTTTATTGTTTTTATTTGTTTGTTTTCATTTGTTCTTATTTAATGTCATGTTTATTTTGTTTATAGGTTTCGTTTTGTTTCTTTTTCATTTATTGTATTAACTGGTAGCAGGCTGCAGTGCTTCCTGTCCGCTCAGGCCTCTGTGTGACATCACTGATGGTTATTCTCTGTTCCCTCAATCAGAATCAGTCTCTGTGTGTTTCTGTGAAAGTGGCCACAGCAAGAAGGCCAGATCTACCACCAGCATATATAATAAAGTGAGAGCAGTGTGTTTTGAAAGGAGAGCTTATATTTATTAATGCGGTGAATGCAGAGGTGAAGCCAGAAGAGGGTGGCGATGAGACACAGTGAGGAGCAGGAGGAAGGTGTAGGAACTGAGCAGAGGAGCAGGAAGGCGAGCAGGAGCAGCAGGTTGAGGAGGACGGAGATCAAGAAGATGAAGGACACAGTGGAGTGGAGCATGAAGTCCTCGTGGGAGGTTCTGTGTGGAGCTGCAGGTGGACACAAGTCAGGAAGATCATTGGAGTCACGTTACTTTAAATCACACAGGTGGCCTCGGTTTCTCCATCCATCCATCCATTCGCGTCCGCTTATCCTGTTCAGGGTCGCGGGGGGCGCTGGAGCCTATCCCAGCTGTCATAGGGCGAGAGGCGGGGTACACCCTGGACAGGTCGCCAGTCTGTCGCAGGGCCAACACACAGGGACAGACAACCATTCGCACTCACATTCACTCGCACATTCACACCTATGGGCAATTTGGATTAACCAATTAACCTATCCCCACTAAGTTTTCTTAGTGGGGATAGGTTTCTATTAATCATTTATTATTGATTATTCTGTGAATTAAAATTTCAGTTTTCCATTTTAAGCAGAAGGTGATGCAGCAGTGGGAGACTGCGGCACCCACGGTGTGGGACGGAGAGATTTCGCAGGTCTTTCCTCCCCACTGCTGTCAGACTCCATAATAAAGACTTTAACTGATCAAACACACACATCCATACATATGCAATAATACTAAGTGCAATAATCCTTTCTGTCATCGTTGTATTTTTACTCAGTTGTATATAGTATTTGTATTCTATTTTTATCTTATTGTATATTTATTTTATTTTATTCTACTGTATATAGTATTTTATTTTATTCTATTCTGTACAGTTGTGTACTGTATTTATTCTTATTGTATTCTAATTTTTGCTACATAACTTTTGCACTGTCCACTTCCTGCTGTGACAAAACAAATTTTCCCACGTGTGGGACTAATAAAGTTTATCTTATCTTATCTTATCTTATCTTATCTTATCTTATCTTAAAAAACATTCACGGTGTTTCCTTTCTGCTCTTGGTGAAGCGTGAGAAAATGCTGATGTGACACGAGGGTAACGTACGAACTCAGGGGGTCAGAGAGCAGTCGGACAGACGAGTGATCCACGTTGTGACCAGGATGTTTCTGTCAGGATGAAAAATTAAACAACTGAAAGCTTCACTGCCAGCCGGAAAGACTTAGTATGACAGGTGAAAACTGATCTGACAGGTTTCCACTGAAGGTGTTTTCTGGGAGCACTGGGATGTTGTTGTTCTGCAGGAAAACTCAGGGCAGTTTGTAAATCAGAGCCAGAAGTGTTGTTTTAAATAGATAAATGTTAATAACGTGAGGCCCAGTGGGAGCTTTGGCTTTAACATCACTTGATTTTCAGAGGAACAAACATTCATGTGTACAGATTTGATTCTGCTGACTGAGCTGCTCTGATGCCAGGTCAGAGACAGACTCTCCAACAAGATGTTCAGAGCGTATGAAGGTGAGGAGGTTCAGTCGGCATCAGTAAACACCAGGTTTAAAATCAGATTTATATTATCGAGATCCCACAAAAAAATGCCAGCTCATAGTAGGGTTAAAGACAGCGAAATACTAGATAAATATGAAATATATGATAAATATGAGATTTAAAGACGTGGGTCAAAATAGCTAAATACCAGGTAGATATGAGATCAGTAGTCGGTTTAAAACAGTTACATATTCAATTAAAGTGGGGTGAATTTCAGCAGTTAAAAGCAGCTTAAATAATAGATAAGCGTGAGTGTGCTTTGCGTGTAGATGTCTGATAGCTGCAGCAAACCTCTCCTTTCTGCTGAAGCTCAGATCTCTGTGGAGGGACAAAACATCCACACTGAACCTGGAGACAAAACTCAGGCTGTAAATACCACAAAACATCCAACGATAAGATGAGCTGTTACTGCTGATCTGTGTAAATGTTACGGCCTCAGCATTACTGGTGGTGCATGTATTACATGTTGGTTAAATGATGATGGATGATGAGTGGATGGTTGATACAGCAGGATGGAGGATTGATGGGTGGGTGGTTGATTATTTTAAAGTTGAATGAAGTGTCGGATGAATGAACCAGAAATGCTGAAGTAAATTACAACAAATTACTGGACTATGGGATACTTCAAGCCAGAAGAGCCACTGCACTATGTTGGAGGAGCATGGCTGGGACTCCATGGGACTCTGGATGAAGGAGTGCATATTTTCTAAGCCTGGAAACGCTAACGTACATTGACGAGAGCAAACAACAGGACTTTATGAATATCTGGAAGCCACACATGAATATCATAGGGAGTGGGGGCAGAGGTTATGGGAAAAAAGGGGCAATAGGAATCTTGTCTCTATGACTATTTTTGTTTTGTTCGTTTTTAGTGTCACTATGAGAGCTATGTTCATTTCTACACTTGATCAGGATTCATGCAGGTTTGAAGTGTGGGTGTGTGGAGTTTAAATGTCTGTTTGCATTGTACAGGGAGTGCAGAATTATTAGGCAAGTTGTATTTTTGAGGAATAATTTTATTATTGAACAACAACCATGTTCTCAATGAACCCAAAAAACTCA